TTGTTTTAAAGGCTCTTAGTGGTTTGGCACCATCCTGCCTCACTGAATTAGTGCACTGGCACAAACCTACAAGGTCCCACAGATCTTCAAGCCAGTTAAATCAGTAAGGGGGCAAACACTTTTTCACACCACTGTAACCCCGGTACTGGCTTCTCTCTACTGGCTTCCAGTCCGTTTTAGAATCGATTTTAAGTGATTGATTTTTGTTTTTAAGGCTCTTAATGGTTTGGCACCATCCTGCCTCACTGAATTAGTGCACTGGCACAAACCTACAAGGTCCCACAGATCTTCAAGCCAGTTACTTTTAGAGGTTTCTAGGGCCAGATATAAATGCTGGGGTGACTGTGTTTTTACTGTTGCAGCCCCTAAATTGTGGAATACTCAACCTCTTAATCTTAGATCAGCTACTGACCTGACTACCTTTAAATCACTGATTAAAACATATTTATTTGCCTTGGCTTTTAATACATATAAGGACCTGATGCATTCCTTTTAATTAATTTATAGACTGTCATCGGTGTGTCTGTGTTATTGTGCTGTTTTATTTTTGCACTGAACCTATTTTATTTTAGTTATTTATTGTGATTTTATTCTGCCCATGTCAAGTACTTTGGTCAGCTGGATGTTGTTTTTAAAGTGCTATATACATTTTCATTTGATTTGATAAAACAATAGCTGTTCTTGCTTAGGCATCTGAACAGAGGGAAGAGTATAAAGTCTTCAGAATATAGCTTGCATCCAGCCTCTCAAATTTGGTTGTGTTTTTAATGTTTTCTTTGCTGTGGGTTGCAGCTCTGATGGTACTACCTGAACAGTGACCGCTGCCTGCCTGAGGACACCTGCTGCCCAATTCCTTTCAACATGTCTGGGATCCATGTAAGTGAATGCACGTTTTTCCAATATACAGGTTTACAGGTGCATACATTTAAACACTACATTTCATACAATTTCAAACATCTACAAAAAGTGCTGCTGAGGAAAGCCAGCATTTGCTGCTTGTGGCTTCTTTGCAGCTTGATCAGCTTATGGAGGTTATGCAGTTACAAGAAAGTCATCTTAGTCGTAGTTTAAGTAATGCCTCTGTTCACTTTCTGCACATTTGTCTACATTTTTTTCTTCTTTAGAGAATTAAATCGAATGAAAACTGACACAATATAATACATCAACAAAAGTTTCTGTCTGCCTAAATGGACTTCTATCGGGTTCTGGTACATGCTACTACTTTTAAGTGACTAGTGTGTGGTTTGGGTGGCTATTGTATTTACCTTCTTAGCTGCCAGTTATTTAAGCACAGTCACCAAAGAAGTTCAGGTGGTCTTCTCTGCTTAACGCTAATGATTAAACTCATAATGCTCATTAATCAAAACTTTTCCTTTCTGTACAAATTCCTCAAGTCTTCAGTTATAATGCAACTTGTGCAATGCTGCAAGTTAATATTCCCTAGCACCAGCTGTCAAGTTAAATTACTGTTGTTTAATATAGAGGACAAAGTTCACCCTCTACATAAAAACAGCACTGTAGCATATTCTTTCTTGAGCAGTCAGATGTTTGACAGTGTTGATGACATCTTGTTTTTTTTATTTTTTTTTATCTATAACCTTTTCCACACTGAAGCTTGCCAATTATCATTTAGCTGTGAAGCTGCAGTCCACAGTCTAGTCACATGAAGTTGCACTCACAGCTACTCTATGGATAACACTCCATACTAATAAGGAATGTAGAAATTTAAAGGGTAAGTTGTGGATTTGAAATAAATATTTTCCTTAACAATGATTTTTTTTCTATAAAATGACATCAAAGTAAAAATTTCCATCCATTCTCACATCAAGGTGAAATCTTGTCTTGTTTGGTCCAAGCAGTCAAAATTTTGGAGATAATTCAGTTTATAATGATACACAGTAAGAAAGTCACTTTCAGCTTTTCCCGTTTTAGGGGTCACCACAGCAAATTGTCACACCGACGACTCGCATGTTGACATTTGGCACGTGTTTTATGCCGGATGTCCTTCCTGATGCAACCCTGACTCGAACCCAAGCCGCAGCGGCGAGAGTGCTGCGCCTTAAACACTAGTCTACCAGGGATGACTAGTTTATAATGATACACAGTAGTACATGAAAAATTATCAAAATTGTTTGAGTTTAACTGACTCTCATTCAATCAATAGTTTCAGTAGTATTGACAGGCACTTAATTTTCCATTATTAATTATTTAGGCAGGTAACACCAGCCACCACGATTACTAACAGAGGATATGGAAAAAAAACTGTGGTGGTACTCAAATCCCTTAAGTAAAAGTAGCAATACAACAGTATAAAAATATTCTGTTACAAGTAAAAGTCCTGCATTCAAAATGTTACCTAAGTAAAAGTATAAAGGTATTAGCATCAGAACATGGTTAAAGTAAAAGTAGCCATTATGCAGCATGGTACATTGAGCATATCGTATTGGATTATAATTATTGATATTACATTGAATTTTGCATCTGATAAAGGGGGAGCTAGTTTTAGCTATCTTATAATTCAAAGTACTACACATGCTGCTGGTTAGCTTGTTCATTTTCCACCAGATCAATAAAGTGTTATGACAAATTTTTATTTTTTAACTAATTTGATTCTGAAAAGTAACTGGACTGGAAAAAATAGCTGAACTGGATTTATATTGTAACTGTCTAGTATCGTTATGGTTTCCTCTTGCTTTCTGATTCTGTGCCTTTATTTTTTTGCTCCGTTTCCCCTCATCTGCTCCAGCTTTACCCCGGTCTTAATCACCACTCATTGCAACCACCTGTCCCTCGTTATCCCTTGGTTGCCTGTGACATGTATACTGCCTCCCTTCCCTCAGTCACTCGCCAGTTCATACTGTTACATACCTGATCCTGTTGCCACTCGGTTGTGGAAACTCTTCCAGACACTCCTGGCTCTTCTCACCTGCACCTGAGATCCCAAACGACTTTTCCGAGTTTGCAAGCTGAGCTGCCTGCTGCTATTTCTCCAGCCTGCCAGCTACGCTGTTACTTGCTCTTCTCAATCTACTCACCTGTGAGTATCGATGATGCCAGCGACGCCAGCGAGGCTTTCCTGTCCAGCAGTGCCTGCTGTTATTTCTCCAGCCTGACAGCTACACTGTCTCCTGCTCTTCTCCGCCTACTCACCTCCCTTCTCCTATCTACTCACTTGTGAGTGTAAAAGACACCAGTGACGCCGGCAAGGTATCCTGACCAGCAGTGCCTGCTGTTATTTCTCCAATCGGCCAGCTACGCTTTCACCAGCTCCTCTCCTGTCTACTCCCAGCCCTTGTCCATGCACCTCTACGTCCAGATCCTCCTGTCTCCCTGGTTCCTGTCCACCCCGTCTCCATGCATCCTGCCTGCCTTCGTCCCCAGCTCCACGCTGCTCTCCCCGCCTGTCCTGTCCAGGACCTGCTCTGCCTGCCTGTCCCATCCAGAACCTACGCTGCCTGCCTGTTCCCTCTCTGTTAGCTCACTCGTCACATACAATAAACTCTTTTCTTGTTTCATTCTCAGTGAGTCTCTTGTCTGCATCTTTGGGTCCTACCTTCCATGCCTCACCCTAACAAGTATTTAAAATAGGCCCCTGATATCTGACATTTTGGTCAAACTCACTTGCACATGCAAGACCTTGAGGTGCTGACATAAACCCATATCTGCAGTTGCGTCTGAATGTGCATATGCACACATCCATTGGTGCCCAGCTCCGTTTTGGTAGTTTCACATTACCAGGCTGGCTCAGTGGTTCAGCTGAAGCCTTAGAGTGGGATTATGTTCTCTCCTACTCTACATCCGCTGCCTTCACCTGTCCTTATTGATCAGGTTGTTTTCAGATGTCACCCCACAGAGCTGCACTACAATCAAGTAAAAATCTTTAAAAACATCACCTTTTTAGAATTTGGAAAGACCAAAGCTGGGAATCAACTTAACACAAAATCTTTTATAGCTCATGTTTGTGTAGTCATGTTAAATGAGAGAGGTCAGTATTTTCCAGCGTTAGGCAGCTTGTGATACAAGCACCAAGTTTGTTCTTATGTGCAGTTTGACTAGCTTTAAGAAACTTTAACTGTGTTTTTGTCAATGAATCTTAGTTGCAAGTAATTAATCATGTTGTGTACCACAACCAATAACAATGTCAGATTATTTTGGGTGTTTGAGCCCAAGGCCCGTGACACTATCCACTTTATAGCATCATAAATGAATTATAGATTCAGTGTGTCATGGTCTCTTAAGGCCAGGGGCTTTCTTGACCCAGAATGCTTTGAAGAGGAACTCAGTGAACTGGTGGTGATGTTACCAGCCCATACCCAAAAGGCCAAAGATGCAGTAGCTGTTGTGCATCCATCAGCAGACCACAGAATGACTCCTGAGCTGAACTAGAATGTACATTCTGTATGTGGTCGACCTCTGATGCATCTGTGGTGAAAATATGTTGTGAAATGTTTGTCATTAAATTCTTGCAAAACTGAATGACTTATGACACTTTTCTTGTAGGAAGTGTGGGAAAAGACTGCATTGTCTCAAAAATATGTTAATCTAACTTGAGGCTACATTTAATTATGGCTTTCTTCCTTGTTGCTTTTTGTGTTGCACATAACCTTCAGCTGCAATCATCAGCAGTGGTTCATATTCAATATACAGCATTGACTGAGAGTGTATTCAGCTGTAGTGTGTGTTGCCAGGAATACGGGAGCTTATACCAAGACTAACACCTGCTGCTTTGTACTCTGGCTTTCTCATTTAATCTCATTCATTCTATTGTGGTTTACTGCTGATCATGGGACTGGGCAGATCTAACAGTGCAAACTGAATAGACTCAGCATACTTATCCTTACTGTCATTTACATTTGTATTTTAGGCATGTGGGTACCACTTCTACAGTATTCGGAGTGACTGACATGTGACGTGTGCGACAGTGTGTTTGTTTGTTTTTTTGTTTTGTTCTGTTTTGTTTTGTTTTCTGGCTGATTAGACCTTGGTTCAGGTTGAAGCTCGGCCAAACTACACAGGAAATTAGCTAATAACAGTATCTCAGCTTCCGACTCTAGTGTAATTCATGTGATGTGGTGGTTAAGTTAGCTCATAAACCATATTCAAACTTGTTCAGTCATAAATTTGTTACTATATTGATTTCAGCCTTAATAGTAATAGTAGATTGACTGATGGCCACATGGCAGAACAGATGCATGTAATTACTCAAAGTTTATTTCTTTTAACAGAGGGGTCACAAGAGACAAAAAAGTGCAAAGCAGAAACTTGTGATGGGAGGTACTAGGCTACATTTTCAATTCATAATCTAAAGACTTTACTGAAGCAGAGTGAACTATCAGCATTTTTTAGGTTCCTCTGCAGAAATCCTTTATTTATTTACTTTTTTTGTTTTTGGTAAAATGAACAGCCTTAACAGGCATAAAATGAAGAATTTAAATTTTTTTTATATGTTATGCTGTTTGCCACTATGCCTGTACACTGATAAACCCTCATCTTCACCTTTTTCCAAGAGTTATTTAACCACCTTAGGGTGTATTAATCAGACTTTGAAGTGGTTTGGGTTAGCATGCACAATTTCACATTATTGCCTGTTGCTGTGTATTAAAACTGGCTCATAAATAACCCAGCTCAGCTGTCTTCCCTCAGTGTAATTAATGTTCCTCTCTGTCTTCTGTGATGCAGTCACCATGGTCGAATGGCACAGAGTGTGTAGCCAAATACAACTTCCAGGCTTCCAATGAACAGGACCTGCCCTTCTGCAAAGGAGATGTACTCACCATCATCGGAGTTACCAGGGTAAGGAGAGCAGGTGGCTGAAACGATGGGTAGGGTAGGGTAAGACTTTATTGATCCCACAATGGGGAAATTCCAGTGTTCCAGCAGCATTAGAGAGCAAACAACAAAACACCACAAGAACAACAAAACACCATAGTGATCTCCGAGAAGCAAATCAAAGGTACCTATAAGAAAAGACAAAACATAGCACTTGAGAGAAATCAAGAACAAGAATATTACTCCCACAATTAATTCCACAATGGGGAGAAACCCTGTATATCAACGGCAGTAGAGACTAAACGACAGACACCATAAGAGCAGCAGACACCGCAAGCATCTCTGAAAAACAAATCAAGAATACCCAAAAACAGTACAAGCATTTCAGAGAAATCAGGAACAAGATATCGCTCCCACAATCAATTCCACAGACAGAGCAGTCTGTGGTCAGAGAGGGAGGGAGTTTTTATTGTTCTTTGTGTGCACACTGTATCAAACAAACCTTGATATTATTCAAGGATTGAGTTAAGAGTTAATGGTTTAAGAGCTTTTCATTTTACTTCTTGATTAGGTTGCACAGTTAACAGGGTTAGTTAGTTTTAATTTCTCCAGACTGTGCACTAAATACTGGAATTTTATCTAATACAGACATGACTATGTCAGCTTAAGTTGACAGGGCTGTGACACAAGCTACACCATTCCCTGCCCAGTTTTTATATGTCCCTGCTAGCAGTAGCCATGACCAGAGGCATTATATTTTCGGTTTTGTCTGTCTCATTTTTGTGAATGTCATATCTCAAAAACGCCTTGAGGGAATTTCTTAGTTTGGCACAAGTGTCCCCTTGGACTCAAATATGAACTGATTAGATTGCAGTGGTCAACTCCAGCTTCCTTTCACGGTCCAAAGACGTGGCTTAGGTTGGAGACTCTAAATTGCCCCAGGAGTGAGTGTGTATCTAGCCACAGGGGTTTCACATCAGTGACTTCTGTGCCAGTCCCAAGCCTGGATGAATAGAGAGGGTTGTGTCAGGAAGGGCATCCGGTGTAAAAACGTGCCAAATTTAATAATGCGAATCAGATTTGCTGTGGCATCCCCTAACGGGAACAGCCAAAAGTAGAGTAGAGTAGAGAGATTGCAGTGGTCAAAGGCCAAGGACAGTGGCATCACATCTGTCCCACTCCATTTGACTGATCGGTGGAGGCACACAACTGCAAAGCAGTAGTACTAGTTGTTTATGTCTCAGAAACCAATGTTTGGTGTATTGATGGTCACATGCTAAAAGGACAGCTGCTTCTTCTGGCAGAAATTTTATTTAGTTGAATTGTTGCAGAAAACAAACTTTTTTTTTCTTTTAGCTTAGGCGCTCTCTTGGTCCCATTGGTGTGTCAGATAAAACAGCACTTCATCCTGTCCCACTTCAGCCTAGTCCCAAACCAGTGGTGTTGAAATTGATTTCAGCGTTCGTTCTCTACCATGTGTAGAGTGTATTTCTAGATAGTTATGAGAGCTCCTCACCTACAGAATGACTGATTTATGTTAAGATGGCAGCCAAATTATTAGTACGAATATTAAGATTGTGTTGTTGTGTATTTGGCTGTTCAAGGATCCCAACTGGTACAGAGCGAGGAACACAGTGGGCAGAGAGGGCACCATCCCAGCTAACTATGTCCAGAAAAGGGAAGGAGTCAGGTCAGGAGGGAAACTCAGTCTAATGCCGTAAGTACCACAGAGTAACAGGAGAAACCCAGCAACACTTTAAACATGAGCTTAAAAAATCCTGTGTGTCTTACACTGGTATTGTGTTCAGATGTAATCTGAGAAATGTTTTGATGTTTTATGTCTATATACTGTAAGTCATGAAAAAGCATTGTTGGATTACTGTAGTGTTAACATTTGTGAAACATTTTATTTAGAAAGAACATTGTAGGAAGCTGATGACACATAATACCGACACATAGTACAGGAGTGACCAATCAGTACAGCAATAATCATAATAAATGTAAATATTTTTATGTGTCTCTGCTCACTGCCACATATGTTCTCTGTCCTTAAGCTGTTGTGCCACCACTTACTTGTGTGGCCTGCAGCAAGGGAAAATGTAGTGCAGATTTAAAAAGTCAAGCAAAGATGGAAATATGATCTCTTTCAGCTTTTGCATTAGAGTTGCAGTGATATGAGATTTTCACTGTATCATAACCATCTAAAAATATCCCAGTTTCACAGTATTACACAATTGCTATTATTATCAGCTACAACAGCTCTTAAACGGGGTGGCTGTGGCTTACGAGGTAGGGCAGTCGTCTTCTAACCAGCAAGTTGGTGGTTCGATTCCCGGTCTCCCCGCATGCCTAAGTGTCCCTGAGCAAGACACTGAACCCCAAATTGCTCCCGGTGGTTCGACTGGCGCCAGTGTGCGGCAGCCTCTCGTCATCGGTGTGTGAATGTGTGTGTGAATGGGTGAATGGTGTATAATCTCCTGTAAAGCGCTTTGGCCAGTGTAACACACTGTGAGAGAGCGCTATATAAAATACAGTCCATTTACCATTTACTTAAATGAATGACAACAACAGGGTCTTTTTTATTGTAAGTGACTAAGACTATGACAGTTGATTGAGCTGGATTGCAGCACTAGATTGACCCGAAAGAATAAACAGTTATAAAGATGATTAAAAAACACAGAATATAACTGTGACATATTATATAACTAAAACATGTTAGTTTGCATGTTAGCGCCACTAGTAGAGGAAGTATTCACATCCTTGATTTAAGTAAAAGTACTAGTATCACACTGTAAAAGTAGCCTATTCTGTTACAAGTAAAAGTCCTGCATCGAAAATGTTTAGTAAAATTAACCATGGCAACACCTAAACCATGTTACCACCCTAAAATTCAGTGATTTCTGAGGGAGGGGACTAGTTTCTGGTCCCCACAAGGATGGCCGAGTCCGCACAGTGTGAGTGTGTTAACAGGTTTTGGTCCTCATGATGTAAGTAATACAAAGGCACATACACACACACACTTCTGAGAGCCGGCAAATTTTGTGTGTGTTTTTTTGGGTCACATCGGGATCATTGTGAGTCCTGTTGTAAGTCAGAGATCAGCAAATGAACAAACAATGTGGAAAATAATTTGGCAAGCACATTTTTTGACCAATGTTTATGTGTTCACATGTTTTACTGTTTGGGATTAAAGATGGAAACAGGGCATAGTTTGATCTGCATGGAGGGATGGTGTTCTCAGAGGTGTCCGTTTCTGAGATGTCTAAAGTAATCCCGCGCTGCTGATTTAAATTTCTTTCATTGGTGGATGGAGTTTGGTGACATCATCCTCCTCCTTTCTGCCATCTGTTCACTCCATGTGTGCGTGTGGCGCCCGTTGCAGAGTCTGACAGATAGTCCAAGAAGAAAGGTGGGCAAGCATTGTGGTTTTAACTTCAGTACTGGTAATAAGCAAAAATGCATGATATGATAACCATCAGTTTTCATGCCATGGTATACCATGAAACCGGTATACCGCCGCAACCCTACTTTGCATTTTTACTGTGTCCTCTCTTGTCTGTGTGTGGCTTCCCCACAGTCTGGGACCAGCTGTGTACTACTGTTGAATCAGACTCTTTGAAGCTGCTATTTAAAAAAAGTGATGTAAACATAATGAGAGGCATATGCAAATAGCCGAGAGCACACAGGCTGCTACAGTAACGTCACAGATGTTGTCATTTGAAAGCTGCCACAGTGTTTGTGTTTACCCTTGAAGAAGAATTTAGATCTCTAGAAAGTTATTAATTCAAGTGTAAAATGTCAGGATGTGAAGTTATAAGAAGATGGTCACACTGCAGAGAGTGGAGATACGCTGTGATCAATACTTAAATGTTATTACATCAAAGCCAAACTGATCTTACACATTTATTTAAGCTTGTCATTGTTTATAATTGTGTGCTGTGTTAATGAAAATACCTTCACTAAATGATCTGTTGTGCTGTCTTTTTGGTTGTCCCTCTGTTTTCCTAAAAGGCACGTTTTATCTTGACAGTATTAGGTGATGTACAGTACAGTAGCTGGGTTCCCATCGTTTTATGTTGCTAGCTACTTTCAGACATTCTATGAAAACACCGAACTGACATCATCCTCCTCAGAGAAAATCTTGGCATCGTAAAGGAAGTTAGCCCATAGATTGATAGTCACAAGCATTGCGGCCTTTTCAGTGCTGCTTTTTGAGCTCACAGTAGTTGGCAGCATGACGCACTGTAATGATACATGGCAGGAAATGTTTAAATGGACCTTTTGACCTCGTTTGTCTCATTTTGTCCACAGCTACAGAAAGCTTTAACCACATGCCATGTTTAACATGATCAGCGGGTCATCCAGCTCTGGCATGATATGGGTGTGGGTGGACGGGTGGGTAGTCAGTCTGAAGGGGCCTGGATAACATCAAATTAGCCCTGCACAACTAATAAGAGCTTTGCCGACATATAATAATAGCATGAATTACTTATCTGCTCCTAAAATACAAGCTACAGCTTTACTGTAGCTCTTGATTACCTTTCTTTTTGTAGTCACTTGTTCTCACAGTGAATAATCAAGTGACTTTTTAGTTTAGCTGTTACCAAATTCTCATTACCATGTTCCTCCTGTTCAAGACAAACAAGTACAAAAAATATGAGCTGCTGATGGCCAACATTCTGCAGAATAAGTCTGTTTTTAAGCACCGTCTAACTGCTGGCATAAATTTTATTTTGATTTCACTTAAGGAATGAATAGATAGTTGCACTCGATGACCTCATGTCCTTTAGATCACTGCATAGTTAAGTGTTATTTGTTGTGTGTGTGTTTTCCCAAAAATACTTGAGCCATCAGAAGTCATTCCTCTGGAGCCATTAGACATAATTAGCTTGTGATGAATCACTCACAGATGTCTCTGAGAAGACCTCTCATTCTTTTCTCTGTTACATAAGGGTTCGGCTGTGGTCTTCTGTCTCCATGTTCACCCTGACCGATTGATACTCAGCAGTAGATGGTCCTTTCCCTCTCTGGCATCTAACAGCCTACTCTCTCTGCTGCCCCCTTGTGATGGACATCTTGTCCATATTACAGCACCACCCTAAAGAAGGCTGGGGTGTTCATCCCTGCAGTCCTGCTTCCTCTTTTCCTGTTGCTTACCACATTTTTTCTTGTATTTTATTATGATGTAATTTATAAAAACTCCAGTGAATTGCAAAGTACAGAGCAACTAGCATATGTCCACCAGCAGGCTCAGTCCCTCCTTAGGCCATCCACGCTTGGTGCCTGTTCTTGGATTAGTGGGAGTTAAGGAGCTGCTGTTCATCAGAGAAGCTGTCTGCACTGATCTAATCAACTCAACCCATATTAAGCTCCTTTACCACAACAGCTGAGTTCGAAGAGCAGGGTGAGGGAGTACTGAGGCAGCCACGGGAAAATGGGTTAAATCAATTATAGCTGTTTATTACCATACCAGCAAAGACAGATAGAGAGGCCTTATGGGCTGCTGCTGTGTGCAACTAATACCACCTTTCACACAAGGAGTGACATAAATCAATGGGATACGTTTGCTGTTTTGTGGTGGAGGTTGCTGGGATAGTGATGTGTTAGAGCTCAGGACTACAGGTCCACAGAGGCAGAGGAGCAGTAGTATGAAAATTCTCAACTCTTACAATGAGGACACAGTTTTTGTCACAGTCTAACTGTATTTTAGAGTAAACTAAGATACTGCTTAAATACTTGTGGCTCAGTTAATTAACACTTAATTGTTAGCGTTAGCGTAGAAGGGGTTAGTAAAGACCACAGAGCAGTAGATGACCGTATCCATTAGTAGCCGCCAGGCCATATGGTGAGTGAATCAGGGTTAGACGAGTAGCGGATGGAATTGGGTAGCAAGAGCTTTATTTGTTCTCATTTTTTACTCCAGTGTGTCTCAGATATTCAGCCCATTTTGTGGTCTCCCCGACTTCAATCAGAAATGGGTGGGTTGGTGAGTTGGTTCTGGGCAACTCACACCTCATTTGAGCCATTTATGCATTTTCCTGTTATTGCAGTGCCTGGAGTTTCCAGTTTTCAGCTTCATCTCTGTGCACGTGTGTGCTTGTGTGCGCCATGCTTCCTGTTGTTTGGGTTCAGGTACTTTCTCAGTGACTCCACAAGACGAGACAGCCCTACCCCTGCACTACTTCAACTGAACAGACTGGAAGTGTGGCTGCCAGTTTCCCAATACCACCCCGCACTTATTTTTACGCTTCTCATTTCGGAAGAGGGCTGTGGGTTGTGACATGTGGAAGTGGATCCTGCTGTATGGTTGAAGTTGAGGTTGTATCTCTGTTCACACAGAGAAGATGAGTTTTTTTTTTTCCACAGGAACTCGCACAAGTGGTATTGCCGTGCATAGATCACACTGGTGTCTTAATATGAACTCCAGCAATGTCCTATTCATTTGTGTGCGTGTGTGTGTTTTCAATAGGGATGTAACAGTATGAAAGTTTCACAGTATGATAACCATCTCAGAACATTTCACAGTTTAACTGTATTATGGTATAAGATATTACACAGTTACAATTATAATCAGCTATAATGACCCTCAGCAGAATGAAAAAGGGGTCTTTGTTACAAATGATTCTCCCAGTTGATTGAGTTGGACTGCAGCACTAGATTGACCCCAAAGAATAAACAGAGTTATAAAGATGATTTAAAAATAAAAGTAAAACTATAACATGTTATGTAAATAAAGTATGTTAGTTTGCATGTTAGTACCTGTACAGTAGTAGAGGACGTATTCACATCCTTTAGTTTAAAGCGCAGAGAGCATCATGAAGAACAAGGAACACACCAGGCAGGTCCGAGATACTGTTGTGGAGAAGTTTAAAGCCGGATTTGGATACAAAAAGATTTCCCAAGCTTTAAACATCCCAAGGAGCACTGTGCAAGCGATAATATTGAAATGGAAGGAGTATCAGACCACTGCAAATCTACCAAGACCTGGCCGTCCCTCTAAACTTTCAGCTCATACAAGGAGAAGACTGATCAGAGATGCAGCCAAGAGGCCCATGATCACTCTGGATGAACTGCAGAGATCTACAGCTGAGGTGGGAGACTCTGTCCATAGGACAACAATCAGTCGTATACTGCACAAATCTGGCCTTTATGGAAGAGTGGCAAGAAGAAAGCCATTTCTTAAAGATATCCATAAAAAGTGTCGTTTAAAGTTTGCCACAAGCCACCTGGGAGACACACCAAACATGTGGAAGAAGGTGCTCTGGTCAGATGAAACCAACATCGAACTTTTTGGCAACAATGCAAAACGTTATGTTTGGCGTAAAAGCAACACAGCTCATCACCCTGAACACACCATCCCCATTGTCAAACATGGTGGTGGCAGCATCCTGGTTTGGGCCTGCTTTTCTTCAGCAGGGACAGGGAAGATGGTTAAAATTGATGGGAAGATGGATGGAGCCAAATACAGGACCATTCTGGAAGGAAACCTGATGGAGTCTGCAAAAGACCTGAGACTGGGACGGAGCTTTGTCTTCCAACAAGACAATGATCCAAAACATAAAGCAAAATCTACAATGGAATGGTTCCCAAATAAACATATCCAGGTGTTAGAATGGCCAAGTCAAAGTCCAGACCTGAATCCAATCGAGAATCTGTGGAAAGAACTGAAAACTGCTGTTCACAAATGCTCTCCATCCAACCTCACTGAGCTCGAGCTGTTTTGCAAGGAGGCATGGGCAAAAATTTCAGTCTCTCGATGTGCAAAACTGATAGAGACATACCCCAAGTGACTTACAGCTGTAATCGCAGCAAAAGGTGGCGCTACAAAGTATTAACTTAAGGGGGCTGAATAATTTTGCACGCCCAATTTTTCAGTTTTTTATTTGTTAAAAAAGTTTGAAATATCCAATAAATTTTGTTCCACTTCATGATTGTGTCCCACTTGTTGTTGATTCTTCACAAAAAATTACAGTTTTATATCTTTATGTTTGAAGCCTGAAATGTGGCAAAAGGTCGCAAAGTTCAAGGGGGCCGAATACTTTCGCAAGGCACTGTATAAGTATTAAAACAAAAATGTACTTAAAGTAGGCTATTCAAGGCAGAAAAATGTTATATTACACAGTATATCATTAGTGAACAGCCTACCACTCATGCACTGATATAAAAGCAGGATTTGAACACTCTAGTTGGTTGAGACTGTGATAAACTGACAACCTGTCCAGGGTGGACCTCGCCTCTCGCCCAGTGTCACCAGGGATTGGCTCCAACCCCCCCACGACCCTCTTCATCTACTTATGCACATATTGATCACATTTCGAATAAGAAAGAACTGTAATTCAGCCAAGGTCATATTATAAGTAATATCCTACCTCTGTCTTGAGGCTATGCAGTCTGTTACTTCATCACCTCACCTCCGGATATTTTGGGTCAAATTCGTTTGGTGTTTTGTCACGTAACATCCTAAGCTAAGCTATGCCGTGCCGTCTTCTGTATGGTATACAGAAAGATTTTCCCTGATGAAGTTTAAAGCATTAACCAACTCTTTATTAAAACATTTAGAACCATATTGACAGATATTCACAAAATTATAGTCTTTAGGAAATAAAAAGCTATTTTATAATAAAAATAAATGCATCACGTAACAGTGAGAGTAAAAAAAACTAAGGACGGTTGAAAATTAACTCATTTTTGTATCCAACAAAGCGGTCATGTCAAAATGAACGACTCAAAACCGAGGACTCGAAAGGTGTACTAACCTCATGCGATGTTGCGCAGTCAACACAAAATGGAGGAATCACTCCCGGAGTGACCTCATGTTCTCGAGTCATGGGAAAGATTTGTTCAAAATGAACGAATCATTCGTGAATGACACATCACTCATTGGTTGAGGTGGAGCTCTGCTGAACAAGTTTGTATCCAAGTGCAACTACTTAATGTGTTCATTATGGATTAACCTGCTGATTATTTTGTCCATTAATCGATTGACTGGTTTGCGAAACTTCTGATAATAGTGAGAAATTCCATCACACTGCTGTAAAAGATTACCAGAATAGTTGTTAATTTACTGTAGGTGCGCATAAGCGCAGCCAGACCTCTCTGTGCCTTTACTCACACTCACTTACTCACTTATGTGAGCTGGGAAAGTTTGTGCGTTTCCATTCCCCTTACATTATTCATCCAAGTTTCAGAAATAGCAATTATATTAAAAGAATGTGTAAGACTACTAAGATAATGTTTTATACTCTGAAAGTTTGTGTATAGACTTCTGCTATTAAAGTGAATTAGTGATAATTTGTTTTCAGTCTTAACATTGCTGTTAAACTGCTCATCTGTGTAATACTTGCAGTTATTTTCAGAGTCAGAAAATAACCCTAGAGTTCAGAGAGTTTGATCTGCATGAAGGGATGGTGTTCTCTTAGGTGTCCGTTTTTGAGATATCCAAAGTAATCCTGTGCTGCTGAATTAAATGTCTTTTTTTGGTGATATCAACCTCCTCTGGTATTTGTCTGCTGCATGTGTGTGTGTGTGTGTGTGTGTGTGTGTGTGTGTGTGTGTGTGTGACACTAGTTGCAGTGTCATTCAGGCAGTCAGTGAAGAAAGGTGCACGCGCTTTCCGTTTTTCTTCAATACCGGTAATAAGCAAATGTGCATGGTATGATAACCATCAATTTTCATACCATGCAATACCGTGAAACCGATATACCGCTGCAACCCTAGTTTTTCATCTCTT